AATCACTGACTGCCAAATAGTGCTGGTAGAAATGTTTGGCCTTTATAGACAAAATATGATGAGGATTTTTAAAGAAGCCAGATATAATACTGGATGCTGGCAATAAATCTTACTATAAATCATTTTGTACTAGATTAAGCACATAAGTTCATTGAAGCAGTCATCTGGGATGATGCTCTGAGGTTCAGAAAATCTGACTGCAGGTTTTCTCCATGGCATATAACTAAATATAGTATTTAGGAGCCGGGACCACCATCATCTCTGACAGGTGGGCAGCCTGAGCACACAGAGGGGTCAGCCTGCCTGTGGCTCCGAAGCACAGTGCAGGACAAGGAGTTGTTATCATTTCCATTATTAGTATATTGTATTGCTCTTGGCTCCTTAAATTGCTAGTTCTCCTAAATGTTATCCCGCCCCTCAACCCTTGAATCAGGTTGAAATGTGTGTGTTGCATTAGCCAAAGTATCTTGGAAGAAGATAAAAAAGAAAGGACAAGTGCTCTTTAAGGGAAAATCCTTCCCCCTGTCCTCACCCTCCCCCGCCCCCCAGAGCCATCTAGGGATGGATTTAAGAAACTTAAGACATATATATCATAAGCCTTTCCAGGGCTAAAGCAGAAATATCTCCCCTTACTTAACCTTGGCAGTCACAAGCCAGCTTTTGATTCTCTCCACCGCAGTCCAGGAAGACAGGAATAATCACATGGCCACACAGCTAGAGACTGTCAGCCCAACTTGGCATATCACCTTTCCAAACACCTTTGCATTAGGAAGAGACAGGCAACTCCTAACTGGGTCACACTGTCCATAACTGTTTCTATGCATCAGAGGCAGCTGTGGGGAAAAGCTCCCAGGATGACTTTCGTTCATATGCTTTTCATTGGGTTGCAGTTTAATAAACTTTTTAAGTTGTCCCTGAAATTGTCAGTAAGTTCCAAGGGAAAGCTAATGTCTTCCACTGTATAGATCTGTAGTCAAACTGTAATGCTGGTTCCTCACAACCTCCAGCTATTCGGCTATTCATTCCTGCCCACTGGCACCGAGTGCTTTTCTTTCATCTGAGCTCCTTCTCTTGTTTAGGGTGACAGATTCATGGAGAGGAATAGTATTGTCCACATAAGTGATCAAACAGATCCATTGTGTACAGGGAAAAAGATCACTGGGCTAGAGGTCAGGAGACTTAGATTCCAGACCCAGCTGTTATCAGCTAGCTTTATGACCCTGAGCAATTTATTTAACTTCTCTGGATTTCACATTCCCTCTGAGGTCTCTTCCAGTTCTAAGATTCTCTGATTCCATTGGACATTTGGGCTTTTAGGACTTTAGAATTCTCCTTTATTCTCTTTGACTATTGTGGTAAGTAGATAGTTTTATGTAACGTAGCTTCTGACATTATAGTCACACAAACTCGGCATGTATTTCTTTCTACTATTGAATTGTCCGGGAATGGACCATGCCAGAGAGTAAATTGGAGACCTGGCACAACTCAGATTCTGCCTGGACTTTTCAAAAAGCCAGATGGTACCACATTTTTGAGTGCCAAGTAAGCCTGCTCCTACAAATTCTTCCCTGTCCTAGTCTAATAAAAATCACCCAGTCTCATGCCCATCTATTATTGCTCAGGTGGCTGGGCCAGATTTGTTCAAAAGGAATACATGGGCCTTAGAAACTTAGGCCTTCTCCAAGGAGACTTCATGGTCCATGTGGACATTTTTCAGATTAGAAACTAGAATTCCAGCCATCAGTCAATTAGTGTCATCAAATAGGGGAGGCCCAAATTCCACTGCCAACGACTGGTCTGCTTGGGGAGGTCAACATCTGAAGGAGGACGGAGGAGCGTTGTTCTGCTTGCTGTGATTTAATTATGACTTTGTGATTGATTCAGGGATGTGGAAACAAATATGAATGAGCCATCTCTCAGTACCAGCTGTCAAGCACTTGGCTTGTAATCTGCTGTCCTCCCACTTGTCCCAAGCACTACCAGCTTGACAGCTCACCAGCTAGTTCAGTGTTTCCTCCTCTGCTGTGATTCACACCCTCAGGGTCTGAGGATCTTGTGCTGTGAAAGGGCACCCCCACTAGGCTCTTTGCTGGCTGGTAACATCCCAGTGGTTTGCGTTACAATGACTTAGCAGCCCTGGTTTTTCCTCCTATAGCATAAATGGTGTCAGAGCCCTCATGTGAGATGGAACATAATCTATAACTATGCTGTCAAGAGACGGTCGGCTCTCTCTCGGAAGTTTGTCAGGGTTCTGAGCACCAGTCCCCACCCAAGCTGTCACCACTCTGATCTCAGCCACCACCCTTTTTCTCTTTTTTGATCCGTTCACTCTGTCTTCCACGGCGCACCAGACAGACCCCTTCGGAACACAAACAGGACCACGTTACCCATGTTAACTCATCTAACGTAGTCCGGAAACCATCTGACATGTTCCTCGTACATCAAAGTTAATATTCAATTAGATGGCGGTCGACCAGACCCACTGTCCTTCTCCAGCACAGCTGGCCCCAGAGGTCCCTATTCTATAACCACTTAATACCGCTTTAATGGGTTTTCACTAAAAATTCTCAAGAGCTCTCACTGACATCCTTGGATATCATTTTAGTTACTGGCTTATTTAGAGGAAAGGGCCCATCTTTATGGGGAGGATAGACACTTGGAATATCAAGAGGAATTAGCAAGTAGGCACTCTGCCCTAGGAGAATGGAAGAACTGGGAAAGAGAAAAAGAGGATAGTTATCAGTTATGACAGAAGTGTGGAGCTGATGTGAAATGCAGAAAAAGAAATGTTTAACCAAAAGCGTTCATGTTTCTCTAACACAGAACGGGCTTTGATCCACTTCTCAGGACACATTTCTGTGGTTGCAAAGGGTAATTCAGTAGGCGATCACAGTTTGAGAGCATCCAGTTTCTCTTGATCTGATTGTGTTTTTGCTGAGCAGTCTTTTGAGGTGAATTGAGCTTCCTTTGTATATTTTCCAACTGAGAAGTATAATAACCAGCTGTTATCATTTCGGTTCTCCAGATAGTTACTACGTTCATTGTAAATTGGCCTTCTGATTTCTCTTCCTTCCCTGCACAGTTTAGTTACCTGGAATCAGTTCTTAACTGAGCCCGCTGCAAAAATCAAGTGTCTAGACCTACAAAGCTGTTTCTAAATTCTAAAACTTACACAGTCATATAGATTCCCCAACTACCCTTTCAGCAGTTAGCCACATCTCATAAATATCCACCACAATAGTATCTTCTGCTTTAGTCTTTTAGTTTAAGGGACATTGATTCTTCCTTCACCCTAACTCACATCTTGGGAGAAATGACAGTGTGAACAGTAACTAACCCAAAGCTGCAGGAAAAGGAAACTGACTCTTCCTATCCTCCCAAGTAGCCTAGTCCCCCTCAAGCCAGAGGCTGTGAGCACTGAGGTGTAGCCTAGCTTGTGGCCGATATTACCTCTCTTCTGCTTTTTGCCACTCAAGATCATCAGCTATTTCTGTTTACCTCCACCCCCATCCCCACTTCAGATTCTAGAAAACACGAATAAACTGTTTTTTGCACTACTAAGCCACTTCAGCAGTTATATTGTGACATCCCCTCATTTGAATGTGAGAAATTTAAATCTAAAGAGATCAAACAACTCCATCAGATTCACAAAGAATGTTAGTGGTGGAGCCAGGACTAGAGCTCAGGTCTTGTGACTTCATGCACAGTTTTCTACTGCATCACCTTGCTCCTCTGCATTGCCCTGGTATTTGTATCTGCTGACCTTGGGGACACTGAATATATCGAGATGACAGAGGTGAAGTGAAAGAGCAAATGCAGAAAAAATGACAAGAAATAACTGAAGTTATAGGAATGAAATAAGCAGAGAAGGCACACTGACTAGTTTAAGTTCACATTGCTTCTGCATAAGTAAAAATTCTTATCTTTCCTCCGTGTTTTACCTCACTTAAGAGTATGTCTGTAAACAATAACATAATTTGTAATGATATATGTGTATGTAATTTATAGATGTAGCTAGATCAGGAGAAATGGGAGAAAAGGCAGTGAAAATTGCCTAGTCTTTCCTGGCTTTTTTTTCCTGAGAACCCAATTCTTACATGATTGCTAATGTTTAACAGGAAATGTCAGAGAAAGAGAAAATGGCAAGAGAAAAGAGATTTTCTGCTGAGGTCTGAAAAAAGACAAACAAAAAAGCTTGCATACTTAACTAGTGAGATGGGGTCCACTGCTTATCCCAAGGGGCACAGTTGGAAAGGACAAAGTGGCTGGTGGAAAACTTGTAGGGAGGAGGGGCAAGGAGCTCATCCATGCAGGTACTTAGCTGTCAATCAGTAACCGAAGGGTGAAGCCTTAGCATCCCAAGACAAGCCTCTTTATTCCCCACTCCAGTTCCTTTTGCTGCCTGGTTATTTCCTTGTCTTTTTGTTATCATGTTCTTCCCAGTGGGAGAGACGTACAAATAAGGAGACTATAGTTATCTCAGACATTCTTTATATTTTTTCAAGGCACACTTCTGGTAATAATTTATTAGAAAGGCCACCACTGTGTGCTCTAGACTGTTAGAATCCCATCCTCAAATATTATGTGGATTTTCACTTTTTAAATTTTTTATTATGGTAAAATATATAACATAAAGATGCCATTTAAACTATTTTCGAGTATACAAATCAGTGTCATTAATTACATTCACAATATTGTACAACCATCACCACTATTTCTAAAACTTTTCCATCACCCCAAACAGAGATCTATAATATCATTACCACTAACTCCCCATTCCTCCTTCCCGCAGGCTCAGGTAACCTCTTCTTTACATTCTGTCTCTATGAACTTAATATCAGCCATTCTTACTTAGTCGTATATACCTCCTAAAGCATGGCAGCAATAGAAAAGAATTGAAAACTCTATCATGACTGAGTACTTTTATCCCTCCCATTCAGAGAAAGCAAAATGACAGTTGCTCTGCTATGCAAATTTAGCCTCTTTCTTTCTTCTTTCAGTGACCATGCAGCAAGTGGCCAGAACAGTGGCTAAAGTGGAACTCTCAGACCATGTGTGTGATGTGGTGTTTGCGCTCTTTGACTGCGATGGTGAGTGGAGCCCTCGGAGTCAGCTGGGAAAACTGAGCCTTACTGCCCTTGTTTCTAATGGAGCCTTGCAGACAATGAACTAGTCCCAGTGTACTAGCCTATACTTCATCAGCTTACCTTTTTCACATATCAAGAGCTCAGTCCTCAGTGTCATGACATTGAGAAATAGAACCCCTGGTCCTGGCTTGTATTTTCTATTTTTTATTGTAATTCCAATTTGTCTATAGGTCTAAATTAATTTATGACCATAAGGATCTTAAAAATGGAAACACTTAAACTACAGTAGTGTTTTAAAAATTAAATAAACAATAAACTCAAACATAAAAGCTTAAAAAAATGGAAACAAAAAATGTTGGACACAGCTTGCTGCTTAGTAGATTAGGAGCACTCAGGTATTTGAATGCCTCTTGGAAGAAAATGGTACTTCTCTCTTCACCTCCCAAAAGGCACAGTTTCAGTCATTCACATTCCATCGTAGCATTCCAGCTTACAATGGTCTATTGTGTCTGTCACCACCCTGTAGTTAGCCCATTTAAGAGATCCTCATTCTGCTCTGGCATTATTTCTCAGCTATGTTGGCCGAAATAATAATAATAATCCTAATCTACTAAGCAGCAAGCTGTGTAATAATAATAACAACATTCACAATGGAGACTCACACTTCTTTCAGTGCTTACTATGAGCCAGGCACTGAGCTAAGCTGCTCATTTAATCCTTTGATGTAGGAATTGTTACTAACTACATTTTCCAGATAAGGGAGCTGAGACTCAGAGGTCGAATAATTTTCCCAGGATCACCAAGGTAGTAGATGTCAAAACCAGGATTTGAGTCAAAGCTGTGCTGCCTCCTTCATATGTAACCTTCATTGCTTGGCCCAGGGTCAGGATTCATTGTTCATCTTCCTCCAGGAAACGAAGCTAATGGAATTCAAGAATCAGCTCAAAAGCTTCTGCCTATATGAAAGTTTTCATTTTGGTCCCAGTATAATGAATCGCTCTGGTTTTTTCATTCCTTAATTTGGTTCGGTTTGTCTGCATTATCTACTACATTACACTCTATCTCTGTGTATGTGCCTTATCTTCCCTACTAAATTGTGAGCTTTTTAAAGATGGACTTTCCCCCATAAGACCTAAGATAGTACTTCCCCCGTCGGACCTTCCCCCATAAGACCTAAGATAGTACTTTGCACATAACAATCGTTGATTAACTTAAGTCATGTAAGTTATTAAGTTGAGCTTGAGTTGTTTAAATCTGCCACCTGCATCCACAGCCGAGGTCTGAGTCAAAGGAAGTCCCAGGGCTAGGATAAGGAGATGGCCTCGTCCGCAGGGGGTGGCTCATTCTCTAAGCATCCCTGTCCAATATGATACCAGTAGTTAGTTATATGTGGCTATTTAAATTTAAATTAAAACTTTAAAACTCAGTTCTTTGGTCTCCCTAGCCACATTTCAAATGCTCAGTAGCCGCATGTAGCCAGCGGCTACTGCACTGAATAGCCCAGATAAAAAACATTTCTCCCATCAAAGAGAGTTCTGATGAACGGCACTGCTATAGAGATTAACTGTCCCCAGATTTTGTTTTTACTCTATCATGTTTAGGTGGTTTGAGTTTTTTCCAAAAAACATTTATTTTTATAATTTTTGAAGTCAACATCCTAGAGCTGGTCTGTGAAGTGAATATGGGAATAAAGGCAGCCAGCTTCACCGTTCACCTCTTCTCCTGGGAAGGCCTGGGAAATGGTGTTTGATTTTCCAACCTTTTAGAAGCAGGCTTTGTCACTACCTACTTGAACCACCTTTAAGAAAATCATATGACACCTCTGGGGCTTATTTTCTAAATCTACAGAAAAAAAGAAGTATATATTAAATTAAAAGGCCATTGTTATTTCTATCAGTGCAAGGTCTTAGGTCAGAATGTCAGAGGACAGAGAATTCCAAGTTTCAAACAGGCTTACTCATCACAGAATTTAGAGTTGCACTCACAGGTCTCATACATGCAGATAAATGACATTCAGTCATATACTTGGTTCAGAGGCAACAGAAGCCAGTCTGACTGGTCAGCTCTGGCCTTAGGGAAGCAGGAAATAAATTCCATGGTAGTTTAAGTGAAATGACCTCAGATTTTTTTCATCTTAAGCTTCTTTTTTTAATACAAAATATTAAGAATCTTCTTTAGAGTTTTTTGTTCTTTAGATTACATTCTTAATAAGCCATATGATTGATTACTTTTCAGGCTAGCCAGGCTACTTTTAAACTTTTTATATCGAAGTATAATATACATACAGAAAAGTGTAAATATCATATGTTAAGTGTACAGCTTAGTAATTTTATAAAACCGAACATACCTGTGTAACCACCAGAAACATCACATTACCTGGACCACGGAGGCCCCCTGGTGCTACCTTCCAGTCATTTCCTCTCCCAAGGATAGTCACTCTCCTGACTTCTAGTATCATAGATGGTTTTACCTGTTATTGTTTGCTTGTTTAATCTTGCTGTGAGGTTATCTCTGAGGCTGCCGGTGCTCTCTTCAGCCAGAAAACCTGGATCAGTTTCGGTTTTCAGGTACTCTCTAAAAAAGTAAACCATTTTTTCCCTCTTTCCACTCTTCCCAGACTGATCGTTAGTAGAGAGGTCTGTTTGCTGGTATCCTAGTACCTTATCACCATCGGTAATGGCTGCCTTTCTTTTAATCAGCAGACTTTTTACTCCTGGGCATCTAGTTAGAAGGTAACTGTCTTCTACTGGAGTGGTTACTGTTCCATGTGACTTGAGAGGTGACCTTTCGTTAAGCCAGATGCTCTCCAAGTTTTCTTCCAGACCTGAGAGTCTGCCACTGAATAGGGTGGGACGGAAAGCCATGAGATAATGGGCTTAACCCAGAGCCAGATTGTGATCTTGGTTTTCATCATGAAAAGCTCTCACTTCTCACCTGGACCATTGCAATAGTCTCCTAACTGGCTCCCATACTTCGGTTATGCCACTCTCCAGTGCCAATCTCATATATCTAACCAGAGAAATCTATTCAAACTGGAAATCTAACTACATCTCACTCCCCTACTTCCAGTCCTTCCCTGGTGCTCCACTGCATAGAAGATAAACTGTAAACCCTTTAAAGAGAATGCAAGATCCTTGGAAACCTATCTCCTGCCCACCTCTTTAGTTTACTTGCCATGCCCCCACCTCTGTGTGTCCAGCAACACCTCACTACTTGTATTCTCCATCAGCCATGCTGCTCCCTGCCTATGCCTTTGTTTATGCTGCTATCACTACCTGGAATGCCTCCTCCATCTCACCCCTCTTTACTTGGCCAATTCCTGTTCATCCTTTGGGATTCAACTTAAGAGTCACCTCCAGAAAGCCTTTATTGATCTGTACCTGCACCACCCCCCAGCCTAGGTTAAATATGTTTCCTCTGTACCCCGTAGCATCCATTGTTTACCCATTATGGCATTTACCACACTATTGAGATAATGTATTTGTCTCTCCCACAACTTGAGAGTATTTCAAAGGACAAAGTCTTATTTATCTCTTTATTCACAACACCTAGCACAAGACCCGACATATAATCTCATTCATCTTTGTCACGCTACACTAAACTGTCACTGAGTTGCATGCAGTTGGAAACATCAAGGAATGAGCAAATCAGTTCATTTTAAGCCAAGAGAATTTAAAATGGCTGTGAGAGAGCCCTGGGCTTTAGAACCCACATTATGTGAAGAATGGAATTTTTCTCAGTGTCTTTGTTCCAAGGCCTCCTCTCATCTATCCCTGCTGTGTTTGCCTCTTCCTCTAGGCAATGGGGAGCTGAGCAATAAGGAATTTGTTTCCATCATGAAGCAACGACTGATGAGAGGCCTGGAGAAGCCCAAAGACATGGGCTTCACCCGTCTCATGCAGGCCATGTGGAAATGTGCACAAGAAACTGCCTGGGACTTCGCTTTGCCCAAACAGTAATCCTGAACGGCAAGGGGAGCCACCTCCCCCACCCAAGCACCCTGGCCCCTTTAGCAGAGCCTTGGCACAGCCTTTCCTGCTGCTCCTTCTGGAAGGAGTGTTCCGTTCCTTTTGAGAATGATCTCAGGATTCAACCAGTTTCCCCTCTCCATCCTGCCCCCGTCCCAGTGTTCTGCTAGGCTCGGATTTCTGCCCAATGATTATCCCCGTAGGTTTTCAAAAACATGAATAAGTCCTAAAAAGTCAGACTTTTGGCACCTTCAACAGCACTACCCAGTCAAGCACCCTATGGACAAAGAATGCAAGGACATTCACAGCTATCTGCCAATCCTGGGAAATACCCAGTTCCCAAGTCATTTTTGCTGTGGGTTTCTATTAATAAGAATATTCCTTGCTTTTTCTCCTGCTGGTGCTTTTAAGCTACAAGCTGGGAAAACCTCTGGCAGGCAAAAGGATGTCTGTGATGAATGATAATAAGGATGACTGGGCCACTGTGCACTGGCAGGAAGCCTGGGCCAGAGGAAGGATCTGTGTCAGTCCCCAAGGAGGCTCAGAGGCCTGCTCCAGGAAGGCGATGTGCACAGTGGGAATGGAGCAAGATTTGAAAATTAAAGGAGCTGCTCACTGGCTCTGACCGCTCCCTAAGAAGACTCCAATGCAACTCTGTGCTTAATGAGCAGCAGTGATTGAGTTCATATTCCCTGCAAGTGCATTTTGCTCTGGGAGTGTGTCTCTGAAACTGAGCCTGGCTCGGGAGCCTGTCTGCCCTCTGTCTTAAACACTTGTAAAATATCACTTTAATTATAGCAGTTTGCAATAAACCTATACAAAGGCTCTTGTCTCCTTTATTTTAGGATCCTCTGGGGCCCTTTTCATTTCACTTCTCCACTGGGTTTGAGATCCTGCTAGCAGAAGACCTGTTTTCTTTTCACCAGAGTCTGGTTGTTCCTGTTGAAAGGCAACTTTAGGCACAAACAAGAAGTGAGGGGACTTGGAAGTTAGTGGTGGCATTGTCTTAGCATAGTTCGGACAGCATTTCCTCCTGAGTCAACATACATACATAGTCCTTGATTAGTCATTGCCCATGATAAGGAACTAAGATGGAGTGGTGGAGTATATGAGAAGCATCTAGCATGGTGGACCTAAGTTTTAAGAACCACAGTAACCAGTGTTTTATATGGACTCAACTCTGCCACTAACTCAGTGTGGCCTTGAGCAAGCAAGTAATTTCCCATCTGTTTTTTCAACTGTAAAATGACAGATAGGATTGAGCTTAATGGGCTCTAAGATTTCTTCCAGGTCTAAAAGCCTCTCCTTCAGCTCTCCTCCAGAATTCCTACAGCTTCCAAACTCCTAGTGCTTCCTGCAAGGCCTGGAAGTTGGTAGAGAGTGCTTATCAGGCAAAGAAGAACAGAGGCCTAGGTCTTCACCTGTGGCTCTGCGAGGACAGTACCAACCTCAGCATTTTCTCCAAAGCAACTTAACAACCTCACTTCTCACATCCTTTCTGGGAAGAGATTATCTCTCAAACGAGTTTGCCACTCACCTATCTCATCTGTCTTCCACTCTTTCATTCCTGGGACCCAAGTGTAGCCTTTGCCTTGCTCATTGCCCCAGAACTGAGGCATCAGCAAAATGAGTCTTTCTTAAAACTATCCCAGAATCCCCAGATCACTGTCTTCCCAGATCTTCATTTCTCTAGCTTGAAAGAAAGGTTCACGTCATAGACTTCATGGGACATTCATTCTCCTACAAGGAGAGATCTGCTGATTGACCTGGGTTCACCGGAGCTGAAAGCCAGAGCATAGCAGGAGAGGGTACGGATCTCACCTACGACATCTTGAAACCCAGGGTCAAGGGCACCTTATCACAGGTACATGGAATTCCAACTGAACTCCATTCGCTCCTAGGAGTGCCTGAGGAAGCAGAGGTCCAAGTGCTCAAGAAGACAGGACGGCCACACTTTGGCACAATAGGGTAAATGTGCAGGTGAGAGGTACAAGTCACCCAGAAGAGGCCAGGGTCCCCCAAGGAAGTCCTTGAGCAAGGTGGCATAATGAATAGGCCAAGACGATTTTAGTAGGCAGAGTGTGGCATTTGAGAATACAAAAGGCTGACTTGTGCTTCCCTCTTTATTCAGATTGTTTCTTCTACCCAGAAAGAATAACCTTCCCCTCTTCCTTCAAGACAGCTCAAACTGTCCCCTCCTTAAGAAGCCTTCCATGAATCCTCTTCCAGACAAGACTGGTAGCCCCTCCTTTGCCTCTCAAGGATCACTTGCCCACCCATAACAACACTGGTGTAATCGATGTAATTTTTGTGAGATTGTCACCCACAAAGTTCAGACCCAAACAGTGACACAATCAAAGACACAGTTCACCACCAAAAGCTAATTTAAAAATAACTCTCAAACAATGTCAAAGTGATACTAGCACTACCTCAGTAAATTCTTCCCACAGCCCCACAGCCATTCTCTACTTTTGTTGTTCTCTACTTTTTTAAATAACAAAAGTAACTCTTTCTCCAAGAAACTAGTTCTTGGGCTTTGGAGAGGGAAGGAAACTCAGAAGGGACCCAGGCTGCTGAGCTTCCTTGACTTTGGAGTAAGCATCATCCACAAGGACAAGCAGGAAGAATATGGGAGGTTACTAAGGGAAATGGGCTTAAGAACATGCATGCTCTTTAAAAATCATTTTAATAGCTTTTAGCGCCCCACCTAGTTTTAGCTCTAGTTGGAGCACATGCACTTGAACCAAATTGGAGTCTAAGACAAAGGAGCCGTCCAGACAATGACTGCTGCCAGGCAGGGAAGAAGGAACAGCAGCATGGGAGCCAAGAGCCAGGTCCCCCCGCCAGAACATCCTCTCCAAACAGCTCAGAAAAGGAAGGAGGGAGCAGAGACAGAATTCAGCTTGCAGGTATCAGGTGCCACCTACTGGCAAGAAAGCTTAGCACAGCAACTCACTGGCCTGGAGCAGGGGAGGGAGGCAAGGCTGCTTGAGTCCAGTCTAGCCTCAGCTCTGCTCCTGAGAATGGGCCTCCCAGAGACCTGGGTGGAATGGGCTGGGGTGAGATCAACATCCAGAGATGGAATATAATCATAAAGAGAGACACTATGGATATGATTATAATTGAGATGAAGAAAGGAGCAATGCCATGTATTGTTCTCAGTGGCTCCAGAATGGGAATTTTTACCAGCAAACAAGAGGGTATGAGTCACTCTATTCATTCTGCAACTTTTTACTGATCACCTACCATGTGCCAGGCACTCAGCAAGGTCTGCAAGGAGTTAGCATTCTAGTGAGGAAAACAGAAAAGAAGCAGTAAAGTTAAGTACAGGCTGCAACGAGAGTACTTGGAGAAGCAGAAGTGCCATCTAATATAGATTCGGGGGTTCAATGCAGGCTTGCAGAGGAAATTTTTTTTTTTAATAAAAAAATACCAAGACCAGAGCGTCGAATAGGAATTAACAAAGGAGGGAAGAGTGTCCAGATAGAGGGTACTGACTGTGCAAAAGTCCAAAGGCCAAAGAGCACAGGAAACGACATTCAAGGGAGTGTCCAGCACAGACTGGGGAGTGACTTTGCAACCCAAGAATTAATTAAGATGGCAGTCATTCACAAAAAAAAAAAAATTTAAAACATAACTCATAGGTTATAGAAAAATGATGGAAATTTTAAAATGCTTAGAAGTGAATATGACAATGAAACTACTAGATATTAAAACTTGTGAGACACAGTTAAAGAGACAAACTTCTTAACAATTTCCATACTTAATTACAGACGATGGGCTGATAAGCTAAGCATCTGCCTCAAGAAGCTGGAAAAAATAGATTAAAACCCAAAACAAACAAAAAAGAGCAAAAATAAGTAAATAAGATTTTTAAATGCATATAACTAAATACTAGAGCAATTTAAAAAATAATATTGGGAGCAACTCTATGCTAATAAATTTGAAATGGATAGTTTCCTAGAAAATATAATTTACCAGACAGAAGAAAAAATTAAAAATCTGAATAGACTAAAACTATAATAAATCAGTAGTTAAAATCTACTTACAACAAAAAATACCAAACCCACATGGCTTTATCTGAGAGAGGAAAAAAAAGAACCAGATCCTCTAGGACCTTGTAAGCCCCAATAGAGAGTTTAGATTTTTATGTTAATGATAATTAGGAGCCATTGAAGGATTTTAAGCAGGAAGAAGACATAACGAGCTTTGCATTTTGGAATGAGGACTTTGCTTGCAATGCCACAGACAGATTGGAGTGGGATCGAGGTTGGAGACTGCGGTAATAACCCAGTTAAGAGATGCTGGAAGCCTGGATTAGGGGGATGGCTGCAGAGGTGGAGAGTCGGAACAGATTTGGGGGATGTTTAGCTCAGCCTGAGGGAGAGGGGGAGGGTATATAAACTGGAGGATGGTAAGGGAGAGGGAACAATTAAGAGTGAAACCCAGATTTCTGTTTAGGTAACTGAGGATATAGCAGGACTCTTCAGTGGGATTGGGAAGCTGAAAGAACCAGGTTTGAAGAGAGGATGATGAGGCCATTTTTTAACATGTTGAGGTGACTGAGAGCCATCTTGGTGGAAGTATCTAGTAGGAAGTTAGACACAGGAATCTGGACCCAGGAAGGGGGTTTAGGGTGGAGATACGGTTTGGGGATCTCCTGAAAACCTGGGCTCTCCCAATTTCAAGGCCAACTAACCATGAACACAAAGTCTGAATCAGTTTCCCAACTGTAAAATACTAATACCAGCTCCATCTCTTCCCCAAGGAAAGATGGGAATAGAAATTATCAAAGTGAAAAGACTTTGACTCAAAGAACCTGTAATTGGTGGGGTATCCCTGAGACAGACAGTTTGGTAGAAAGAGCTGCACATACCCTGTACCTTATCTTTCCAGTCTCCAGCCTCTGGCCCTCCTTAGGTGTCAAGAACTCCTTCTCCAGGGAGAAAAAGAGAGCAGAGGACTAAAATGAAGATCCAAAGATGCTAAGGGAGAGTATTCATATGTCCCTTCAACAATTTATTGAAGCCAAATTGAAAATTCAATTATCAGTCATTCACACTCAGGGGAATTTTCATCATCCTCATTGTGAGATTTGGGTTCTCGCTTTTTTTTTTTTTTTTCCCGTCACATAGGTAAACATTCTCATGGTTCCAAAATAAAGTTTACATAAAAAGGCATACATTGGAAAGCCTCCCAATCATTCCCACAGCTGCAGAGTATTCCATTGTATACCATAATTTAGTCAATAAGGGTAGTTTCTTCCAGGAAAGATTTTGGAGCCTGGGGATCTCTGAAAGGAAGGGCTTGGTGGGTCACATGTGGAGGGAGGCAGCAAAGGCCACTGTTGGAGCCAGGGAACAAAAGAGCAAAGAACAAGATATGGGGGATACCCCACTGACTTGGCAGTTCTGAAGACTTAGGAAGAAATTTATCTTTCAAGCTAGCTCAGGGAAACTCTAGATAAAGTGGGGAGAAAGAAACTTGTCTCTGGGGTTCATTTAACAAATATGTATTGAGCCTATATTAAGTATCAGGCCCTGTGCTCGGGCCACGGGGAACATGAAGGCAAGATCTCCACTTGATTTAGCTAGAGACAGGTGTGCCGACTGTGCAGGGCTGTGAAGGTGAGTGTCCATGGAGGAGCCAGGCTTAAGTGCTATGGGAATTCAAAGCAGGAAGAGCTCTTGGAGAAGGAAGCCCTTTCCAGACTCAGACCCTGGCTCAGATGTCATCTCCCCCAGAGAGCCTTTCTAATTCTACACACACACAACCAGCAGCTCCCTCTTCTGAGCCTCCTCTGGAGCTTACACACAGTCCCACTGTTGGACTTAGCACACTGTCCTCTAATTCGTTCAATATCTATCTCCCTTACTAGACTGTGAACACCTTAATATCAGGTTCTGTCCTTTATTCATGGCGCATCTCCACATCCCTAAATCTCTGCACAGTGCCTGGCTTTCAGGATAGACATCTGACTATTAAATGAATTCTATCTCTTCACAGGGAAGATAGATTTTAAGCTGAGCCCTAAAGAACAAGTTAGACTTGGACAGATGGAAAAGATAATTAAGGAGGGCAAGCAGATATATAGGGGTGGGAGAATTGTATCTTATAGAGAAGAGGAAAGACAATAGAAGATTAAAGCATTTTAAGGTCAGACTGTGAATTCTTGATGTTCCCCAGAAGAGGGAAATCTGGAGGCTAGTGGTCACCTAATACAAGGGCAGCTTTCAGCTCTAGGAGCAAAACGAGATTGAAGATGCATTTTCCCAGTGACTTCTAGGTACCTGTAGAGGCAATTAAGGATTTCGTCTCACTTTTTGAGCCTCATCCTACCAGAAATACCATGATTCCAGCTAGTCAGGACAGAAGTTTCCAATTTTTTCCTTATATCAATATCATGACATCTTGATTTAAAGAACTATCAAGGAGAAACTATAATTTCAGGTCATCCCTGGTATACCAGTTCCATTTCTAAACTAAATCTATAAACCAAGGACCATAAGGAGTGTGGCTCTCTTCCTGGCCTTTGGACTGAGAAGGACCTATAAAAAGTCAAATAGCCCCAAGACAGAAAACAACATACCCAGTTTGACTAAGATCTATAAGAAAGATAAGAGAGTGATAACATGAAGGCTGGTTAGACCAGCATTCAGGCTCAAGCTTGTAATCTCTTCTGAAACAACAGAACCTTTCTGAATTGAAATAGTTCAGAGACCCAACTCAGCAGCAGAGGGGAGGGAAGAAGAATGAGAAAACAGGCATAAAGAGGTCCCACTACATACACACTCAGCCCACCTCTCCAGATCTTTAGTGTTCCAGGTGCTGCCAACCAAGCCAAATTACTAACTACAGACATAAAATTTAAATAAGATTTTGTTATTTGTGTGTATTGGGGGAAATGAGAGGAGGAGGGGTCACCAGCCAGTAGCTGGGCAATCACAGTCCAATTCCTTAACAAAATTACACACCTTTTACACATGTGTACCTTCTTCACAAAGCGAATTACCTGTTGTCAGATGGATAAGAGGGGCCTTATGAAACTCAGAAAATGGAAGAGGAGACTTCATGATACTTAGCAGTATAGACGAAAAAGAGGCACTTTAATACATCTAACTGAAAGTAACCTCGTAGGGGGAATCTGATCATAAATTCCTAACTGGGCAGGTCATGCTGGTTAGTCATGCCTCTGGCCTATAACTTCTCTAGTAAAAGTTATCTTTGCCCTGTCCATTGTTTTCGTGCATCTTGGTTAACACATCTTTGAAATGCCTTTTTTTCAGACCCCTGGAAAGCTAACACCCTTAAGAGAACACAAAATTTTGTTAACTATCCTGTAATCCAATCGCTGCCTTGCTTTCTCCCATCTTCATGTAATCATCCTATGTTCCCTCTTAAATTCCAAATGTATAAAAGAAACTACAAAACTGTCATTTCCCAGAGCACTTGGGATCTTGCTTCCCAGCAATATTGTCAGTTGGGCTCAAATAAACTCTCCTAAAAATTATCTGCAGGTTTGGACATTTCTTACATTAACAGCAGGAGAGAGGAAGGTGGATGCTGCAGTTTTAGGTCAACAAACCTCAGAGAAGCTATTTGAAAGGAATCCAGTGTTTATCTATTAACAGATATTAAGGACCTATCAATTTGTGAAGACCTTAACCTTCTCTAAGTGTAGGGCTCTTTTATTAAGGAGGGGCTGATTTCCCCATCACCAGGATACTCTGTATTGGGCCAAGTTGGAGTCATAAGAGTTTGCACTGGGAAGGGAATAGTGGGAATGGAAAGAAAGGCTGGATGTAAAGAAATTTCCAGAGAGTGAGCACAGCCTTGCTTCTTACTACACTGAGAATATAAATGCTTCTTGAAAAGAATTACCTCATGTTCCCACTTTTGAATTTACCAGCGGCCTGCAGTGTACTCAGCTACACTCTCTCCCCTCCTGAAAATCAGTAAGTTGTCTATGCACCTATCTAAGGCCATCTCCTCACTTGTGCCCCAGATCCCACTTCTTCTATTCCTGTAATTGTCTCCTCTCTTTCCTATATTACCAAAATTTCTTTCCCACTTAAGTAATTCATATCATAGAGTGCTATAATATATCTCATCTAAAAACAAGAACAAAACTTCCCCACATTCCTCTCCACTACCAATCGGTTTCTCTCTTACCCTTAACCTCTTGAATCCATTCCTGTACAGTTTTCACCTCTACCATCCACTGAAAGAAATCTTGTCAAGGTCAAGATTTCTAGCACTTATCACTGACTTCCATATTGTCAAACTCAATGGTCACTTCTCAGTCCTCATACTGCTTGGCCTCTCCGCATGGTTTGCCAAAGTTAGACCCCTCCCTCCCTCTTAAACAGTTGTTTCCTTTCTGAAATAACTAAATTTATTATGTGAAGGAGCCGCTGCTTCGTTTTCTTTTCCCGGATTCTTTCCAGACCTCTAAACAGTGGCTGTCACAAGGCTCAGTAATCAAACTTCTACTCTTCCCCTATCTACACTCACTTCCTTGGTGCACTTAGCCCCATAGCTTTAAATACCATTTATATATACTGATGATTTCCAAAATTATATTTCCAGCTCCACCCTCATCCCTAAACCATACATGTGTACAACTCCCTATTTACATCTCCACTTGATTCTAAAAGGTATCACAAACGTACACCTTAAATCAAACATTTAATATTCTTCTTACCAAGCTGCTCCTCTCAGTCTTCCCCAGTTTTGGTAAATGGAAATGCTGTTCTTCCACTTACTTAGGCCAAAAACCTTAAAATCATCCTTGACTCCTTTCTCTTACGTCCCACATGCATTCCATCAGCAAAATCACTTTGTATCTTCAAAATATACCCAGAATGTGATTTTTCACCACCTCCACAATCACCCTTATCCAAGTTACCATTAATTCTCACCTGGTTTATAGTAGTAGCCTTTCACTAAATCCTGCTTGAGAGGCCAAGTAATATAAAGATTGAGAAATGGCCAATGGATTTGGCAATATGCGTCATTGCTATCTTTGACAAGACTGCTTTCGCTGGAATGGCAGGCATGAAAGCCTGACAGAACTGAATTCCACTCTATAGTGGAATCCTACATGCTTCCTATATAGTATACTCTTCTTGTTGATCGTGTAATAACTCACCAAATAAGTTCCTGATTCCGAGCCTTTGCTTTTGCTCTTCCTTCCGCCTAGACCACCCTTTTTCAGATAGTCCCATCTGGAATACCTGCTTTCTCTCCTGAATTCAGATTTCTCTTAAAACAGCTTCTGAGAGATTTATCAGACTATTTAAAATAAAACCTTCAACACTCTATCCCTTTTTCTTCATAGCATTTATCACTATCTAAATATATCTATTTATTCGATGTCTCCCCACCCCCTACACACACTAGAATGTAAGCTCCATGAGGGCAAGGGCTTTGTTTTGTTCACCACTGTATATACCCAGCCTGGCAAATAGTGGGTTCTCAAGAAAAATGTTTTATAAATAAATGACCTTCGTCTCAAATACATAGTTACTACCAAAAACGTGCAAGCATACTCAACTTTGAGAGCTCTGAATATAACCCTTCGGCTTCCAGAAATGTGGGCATGCACCCTTAACGTCCCTTAAACATCGCCCTCTTAGAAGACATACGGTAGCCCTTCCGCCCTCGCCCAAACCTCAGAAAAGGAGGGGCGGAGGCTTTATGTCATCAGCCTGCGCCCGGCTGTATCGCAACGCGCCGACAGCTGGCGCAGCCCTTCGCTCTCCCGGCCTCCCCCTCCCTGGTTCCGCGCTCTGGTTCCGCCATGGAATCCAACAAGGATGAAGCCGAGCGCTGTATTAGCATCGCACTCAAGGCCATCCAGAGCAACCAGCCCGACCGGGCGCTCCGCTTCCTGGAGAAAGCACAACGGCTGTACCCGACGCCGCGAGTTCGCGGTGAGTGTGAAGTGCCGGCGAGACAGAGGGGACATTAGAACTGATGGGGGGAATACGGGAACGGACCGACGGGAGCAGTTGGAGGAGGGGGAGGGGAGACGAGGCGCGGCTACGCCTGCGCACTGGGACGCGCGGTGGCTGCTGGGAGGTGTAGTCTTTCGCTCTCACGCCTCCGCGGGATGCTACAGATAGGATGAGAAGGGCCACCTCTACTTCAGCTTTCCGGGTGCTTGCGGAACCCTCTGAGATTTGGAGTTCTCAAGAATGAGAGGCACTGGCAGACGGGGCGAAGGGAACTAACCTGGAAGCGAAATCGAACTACTTTTCCCAAGCGGCCATTCGGTGGCCCAGGGGCCATTGCCGGCCTGGGAAATGTTATAGTTTAGGAAAATAAGCATAACTCCTCTGAAGGAGAGAAAGGATTCTAGAAAGGGAAAAAAGACTTCCGATCTTCTGACTGCCTGGAAAGGCGTCTTCATATCTTCACTCCCTTCCCTGGTCGTCTCCAGGTGAAGGACAGGGACCACTCTCCCGAAACTAGAGCTACCTTTTCCCCCTACTCCATACCACCACCTTGGACGGTGTGCCCTGAAACCCGGCTTCTCACTCCTTCTTGGAGCTTCTTCACCCGTTTGTGAGATCCAGAGCAGACTGTCTGGAAGACGCTGGCCTCAGCCACCCCCACCCACACTCGCCCCCAAGAGTCCATCAGTGGCTAGTCAAGTCATATGGACGGCTGGACAGCACCAGGCTATCCTGCTCTGCGGCCCTGGACTGAAACCTTCCAAACCAGGGAGAGAATAATGAGGTTGTCTCAACTCACCATCTCACTGTACCTGGAAACCCTGTTTTTCTTTAACCTAAATCTTCAAAGAAGTTTTTCATAATACAAGCTGGAGGGGAGAAAGTGGTAGTCCGTTAAAGATCCGGGTTTGTGCCTGCAATTACTGTTTAGTAAACCGTCTGATGTATGTCAGGTACTCAGAAGACCAGGGTTATCATCCTGACTGCTACCATGTGATCTTTCCGAGCTCGGATTTACTTACCTAGAAGATCAAAGGGTTGGCACAGATAATGTGAATAACAGTAACACCCATAGGGCTTTTCAATTTAGAAATCTCTTTCGAATGCATTTTTTTCACTTGCACCTACCCTACCAGGGAGGTAGAGCAAAGATTATTATCTTTGTTCTATAGATGAGGAAATATCTCAGAGGCAAGGGACTTGCCCAAGAAATAGTTAGAAATTGGAAAGCTCTGTGACTCTGTACATGTTTACTAAAGGAGTAAAATGAAATTGAAGAGCAGCTATCAGCCTCCTAACCATCCTTGCCCAGGTTATGAAATTGAGAAAGAGGAACCCTGGCAGAAGAGGCTCCCTGGAATGCCTGAATTTTCCTGCCTCCTGCCTCCTGACTCTTGCATGTTAATCTTTTGGCCTATTTGCATCTTCTTAGGATTTCAGCCCGCATTTGCCAGGACTCCTGAGGTAACCTGCTGAAGGAACTTCTTTATGAAATAAATCACACTGTATAAGAGGAGAGCAGGGTGGGGTAGAGGGAGACTGAATTCTGAATTTGAGGCCTCGGGGGGCTCAGGAGCAGGCAGCCAAGAAAGGATGGTAACAATAGAGCTCGTGGAGATGTTCCTGTCAGCAGGCCTCCTGGTCTAGTTCAGGAGCATAGATGTCCTTCCTGGGGCTCAAGCACTGAAATTTGCTCAGGCAGAAGAGTCACCTGCTGCATATTTGTCATATTTATGATATTCTGGAAAAAGTATATACCTCGTGCCTCTCTGTAAATGTCACCTGTACCATCTCCAGCCCTGCATTGAGCTGACAGGGACCTGGGCTTAATTTAGGCCTGGGATGGGGAGATCTTGGTCAGAAAAATACTAAGTAGTATTGTCTACTTGTATTTGATATTTGAGGTCTGAGTTCATTCCAGATGCTCATTAAGTGCAACTAAATTTTTTGTTTTGTTTGTGAAGTTCTCTGCTTGGTGCTGAGTGGTATAGCAACATTGGTAAGACTTGATCCTTTGCCTCAAGAGGTGTACGATCTAGTGAAGGAAACGAATTACAGAAAAAAAATATAAGCCATAAAACAATGACATTAAACAAAAATTAAGCACAGTGTCAGATGCTGAGAACTTAAGGATGGACATGAAGAATCTAGTCTTCGCCCTCCATGGATGGGTTCACAGTCTGGTGAGGTGGAGGGGAGTGCTGGGAGTAGGGGGTGTGAAGGACAGTCTTCTGAACATTAAATTATAAGCGTAGTGAGGACAGAAAAATAATGGTAGATTATAGTAAAAGAAGGCTTTAGGGAGTAGGACGGGAGGCAGCATTTAAACTGTACTTCGGCAGAGGGTAGACTTGGAAAAGGGCATACTAGGAGAAAGACATGGGGGCTGGAAGTTGTAAAAGGTTTGGGGGAAGGGGTCAAGAGTAGCAAGATTTGAAGGCTGTGGAGGTGGTAATTTGAATATAGAGAAGATTGAGTCTGGAAAATAGAATGGGGCCAGATTGTGGAAATTCTTTCCTGCCAGCCCAGGATATTCACTTTATGCTGTACTTAGTGAAAAAACTATTGAAGTTTTTGATGGCAGGAATAAGAGAAGGGTATTTTTCTTAAAAGACAACAGCATGAAGTATTGAGAAGAGAGACCTAAGGTAGAAACCAGTTGGGAGACAATTGCACTGAGTAGTTTAGGAGCTATGAGGGCCTGAGATAAGGCAGTCTGGAGGAAGGTAAGGTCATTGGAGAGGAGGTACCAATTCTGTGTGAGAGAGGAATGCTGAGGAGAAATGAGGACTGAGAATCCAAACCTGTGTGACTGGGAAGAAACCAAGGCTGAAGAACATGAAAGGGAAGAAATAAGCAGAGTACAAGATGCTGGTGGCTTGTTCCAAAGGAGCTGTCAGTTTGGAGCTCAGGAGAGAGCTCCAGGTCCCAGCTAAAGTCTGGTCTCAGTTTGATGAAGCTCATTGGAGTTGTGCCGGGCTGAAGTCATTGTAGGAAAGTGTGAAATTTGTAGAGAAGGTTGCTGTTGTCACACCCATGGGGCACATCTGTTCTTAACCATAGAGTACAATGGAGCAACAACAGGAAGAGGCTATCCCAGGAGAGAGCAGCTGCCAGGGAGCCACGGAGCAACATGTCAGGGAGGTGTGGAGCAGCACTGTCAGTTGCTGCAGAAGCCACATGGGAAAAGGACAAGTTGAGAAATGAAAGGTTAGGATCAAGAACATGAGTAGAGGATTGGTCTTGGAGAAGTGGAAGGACAGACAAAGGGAAGGGTTAGGGTGAGAGGAGGCTCAGAGCAACCTTGAAGGGTCAAGGGACTTCACAGTGAAAAGGATATGAGGGGACTTGAAACTCACTCAGCAGGAGGTAGCACCGGGAGGCACCAAGGTCTGGACAGTCAAACTGTGCAGCCGTAGTCAGGCACTAAGCTGAGATGCCACAGGGCAGACGTAGTAGAGCCAGTCAGTCCCTTTCCGAGAGTTTCTATACAGTGCCTGGCAGCCTGGTAGCCACTGGCTTTGCCTGAGGCTTAGCAACAATGGTGGAAGGTACCAAGTTTTCCAGAGAGATGATGAGAACATCTGTAGGCCTCAGCTTCCCCAGTATACAAAGAAAGGCTTGACCTGAATGATCCTGCAGTGTAGGCTGCCTGAAGTTCTATGAAATGGCTGGTTCTGCATCCAAGCTAAGTCAGGAAGGTCATGCTGGGAAGGCCAGTGCATGGGAGAGGGGAGGATTAGTTGCCAAGAGATTTTGGCATTCAGGGCCTAGGAGTGAGAGATGTTCAGATACTGGCGAGGGCCAGGGTGGGGTTGTCTACTTGAATCAGCCTTCATGAACCTCACTGAGTGCTCAGCCCTTCCATTCACCTGATTTCACTGAATCTTACCCCTCAGAGCAACCCTATGAAGGCAGGAATCATGTCTTCACTGAGGAATTCGATAACTTGACAAGGCTATGTGACTACTTAGCAAAAGAACCAGACTGTCTAGC